GGTAGTCTTGGGACCTCTTCTGTAACTTTGTAGGCACTTAGGAATCTGAACATGTGATCTCCAGTCCTGGATTCTCCACTTACTGCCTGGATAAGCCACTTCATATGCTTGAACCTCCTTTTCCTCATTCAATGGGGAAGGTATTGTCTATGTGCCCTCTGGAGGAGACTGTTATGTGGATTGAGATGGAAGCAAAATGGCTGGGCAAGTTGTCCAGGTCCATACAAATGCACCACTGGCACAAATGTATTGAGTGCCCTTTCTCGTCTAGGCAAATTTGATAATGATGATAATGACCATGAGGACCCATTCCCACAATCTGACTAACCGTATCTGTCTAGACAGGGAGGAAGGAGGGGCTGGGGTTGAATAAGTACCTGGAGCCTGAGTGGAAGCCATTTCTTTGAAATAAGGTCTTAGGAGCCACTTACCTGGTAGAAAACTGCAAGCTCTATGCGCTTCACAAGACATGGATTGAAGCCACAATGCACCTGTCATCAGGACAAAAACTCAAAATCTTTTTTTTTTTTTTTTAAAGATTTTATTTATTTGACAGAGAGCAACACAGCGAGAGAAGGAATACAGGCAGGGGGAGTGGGAGAGGGAGAAGCAGGCTTCCCGCCAAGCAGGGAGCCCGATGCGGAGCTCGATCCCAGGACCCTGGGATCATGACCTGAGCCGAAGGCAGACGCTAAACGACTGAGCCACCCAGGTGCCCCAAAAAGTCAAAATCTTGACAAACTACTCTGTGGCGAGGTTGTGAGGAAGTGGGCACTCACACGTAACTGGTGGGAATACAAAGTGGTACATCCCCTTGATGAAGGGAATTGAGCAATATCTAACAAAAGTACATAGTATTTACCTTTGACCTAGAAATATAACTGCTGGGTACTATCCTGAATCACACCCCCCCATATATATCTTCTTTATATCTTTCATCTAGATTCACCAGTTGTTAACATTTTTGTCACATTTGCTCATGAACACTCTCTCCATATATGTACATGTTTGTGTCTAGATGTACATGTATATATATATGTATATGTCTGTACCTGTGTGTTTAATATAGAGACATTTTTGCTGAATCATTAAGACTAATGTGTACCCTTTGCACCTAAACAATTCAGAGTATATCTCTTTTTAAAAAAAATATTTTGTTTATTTATTAGAGAGAGAGAAAACAAGCAGGGGGAACTGCAGGCAGAGGGAGAAGGAGAAGCAGGCTCCTGCTGAGCAGGGAGCCCGATGCGGGGCTCAGTCCCAGGACCCTGGGATCATGACCTGAGCCGTAGGCAGCCGCCCAACCGACTGAGCCACCCAGGTGCCCCAAGAGTATATCTCCCAAGAACAAAGACATTCTCTTGTATAATCTCAGAAAAATCGCCAAATCCAAAAAATTAATATAATATTATTGTTTAATATATTTTTCATGTTCACATGTTGCCAATTGTCCAAATAATATCCTTTATAAACCTTTGTCTTCAAGCTTAGCTCCAGTCGTGGATTAAGCAAGACATTTAAGTGTCAAATCTCTTTAATCTCCCATAATGTGGAAGCGCTCCTCCACCTCACTTTGTCATGCCATGTACATTTCTGAAGAGGACAAATGCCTAGTTTTGTAGAGGGCCCCTCAACTGGGGCTTATCTGATTGCTTCCTTGAGATTATTCTGGTTCCACATTTTGGTCTAGAGTAATGTGATTTCAGTTTGTCCTATTATTAGTGTTTGACTGTTGGACACTTGCTGTGGTGGTCAACGTGAAGATGTCTGGGATAGCTCTCCACTATAAAGGTACTATTTCCTCTCTTTAATTAATGAATCACCTGTGGGGAGGTACGTAGAGCCTTCATTAATACCCTACTCCAAACTGTCTCACCCGAAAGAATCAGTTAATGAACTCAGATTTTGTAAAGAAAATGGAGTCTCGCCTGACTTTGGCAAGATCCCAGAAATATACCCATCAATGCGGATTCTGGTTTCAGGGTAAACAGGACAGCCTCAAGCTCAGGAGTCTTCACCCGGTCTCCCCAAGGGGTCCTTGGATAGAATTCAAGGCGGTCTTAAACTTGGCTGGGAAAGCAATTACGTTGATATTTTCACCACCCTCTTAGTAAAATTCATTATTCTTTTCGATTATGAATGAGACAACAAAGCATAGCAGTACCAATGGCTATGTCACCCATGGAAATTCCAGATGTTTTTATATCACATTACAACTGACACAGAACATTATTTACACTCGTCATTCCTTTGAAATCCTCACAGTTATTAGATCTTGTTATTCAATATATTAATAAGGAAAGCACCTATGTTACATACCAGATTTTAAATACATTTTGGTGTTAGGATTTCAACAATATTTCCTTTGTAAACCTGTGTATTTTATTTTCTGCACTTGTATTAATGCGTTTGGGCTGTTCCAACAAAATACTAGAGGCTGGGTAGTTTACAAACAACAGATATTTATTTATTACAGTTCTGGAGGCTGCAAGTCTGAGATCAGGGGGCTGGCAAGGTCAGGTGCTGATGAAGGCCATCTTCTGTGGGCTGCATCCTCAAGTGGTGGAAGGGGCAGGGAGCTCTGCCTGGTCTCTTTTATAAGAGCACTAATCCCATTCGTGGGGGCTCCACTCTCCTGACCTAAGCAACTCCCAGAGGCCTTGCTTCCTAATTACCGTTACACTGGGCGTTAGGAATTCAACATATGAATTTGTGGGGGACACAACCAACCAGACCATAGCAGCACTTAGGAACGTTATCCTGAGCAGGAGTCCATGGCACAGAAAAGGTTAATAACCCTTGCCTCTGTCCTCTCCCCTCTCCAGCTGGTCCTCCTTACTTGTTCAGGATCACCTTTTGAAAACACCAGCCTTTCAGGTTTTCCTCCTTTCCTCCATGACTCTCGAACATTTGCTGGTTTGGGCACCAGCATAAAAGAAACTGCTTGGAAGTTTCCCACAATCTGGTTTCAGGATTCTCATCTGCCACTCCCATTAATCTGGTCTCACCCAAACACCACTTTGTTGTTGCTCAGGATGTGGCCCCGGGCGGGCGGGGAGGTGGGGGGTTCTTCTCTACCGCTTAAAAAAAGAAAACCTGCTGCTCTTCCAAGACCCCAGACTAAATCATTCCTTCCCTTTGTGTTTGCTGGGTGCTTTGTTTGCCTCGGTAGCCCTCATCAGCACCTGTAAGTGTGTGAACTTTACCTGTCTCTCTATTGTCTTTCCTGTCTATCTCTTCTACTGAATGGGAAGCCCCTTAGGGACGTCCTTCTTCCTAGCGGCTCCTAACCACGTGCTGGAGCACTGCACATGGTTTTAAGTTAGATTTATGGGGTTGAATAGATGCAAATCCCCACTTTAGAGTAAGAACAGGCAGGCCCAGATGAGAAGCCCCAGGGTTGGAACCTAAGGCTTCTGGTCCCTGGCTTGTAGTCCCCAGTCCACTATAGAGCACCAGGGGCCTGGCCAGTTTCACCATTTTCTGACCCAGAATTCCTCTCAAACAACTGTGACTTCCGTGGTCTTACTGGATTGAGGAAACAATCTTTCTGAGGCTTAATGTAAAGATAAATATGTCAGCAAGAATTTCTATTCGGATGTGACATTTGCACATGAAATGATAACCTAAATCCCTGAATTTCTTCTTCCCAAGAGCCCCAGTGGCTCTCTCTAATTTCCATATACGAAAAAATGCCAACTATTCAGAAGGGTACAGAGAATGATTTAATGCACTCATCACCTACATTCAACAATTACCATTTTGCCTTTTTTTTGCTTGGTGCTTTCTTTTATATAATTTCCTGAAACATTTTAAAGTCAATTACAAACCTTAAATAAAGGACAGTATCTTCCAGAACCATAATTCCTTAGTGAAACATAAGAAAGTTAAAGTTTGCACAATGGTGACTTTATATTACGATTTTTCTACATTTATTAGCTGGCATCCTCTGTAAAGCAGAGGCTTTTCTCCTCACTCAGGCCTGTTTGGTCACCCTGAAATACCGTTTCTGTAGGAAAGGCAAGATAAATGTCCACATATTTCCCTTTAATGATCCATATTCCAAGTAAGGAGTTGGAGTAATAGATGCCATCTGTGGTGACAAAAGCATTATTTTAGGGGAAGGAACTTTCTCTTTTCACTGACTGTCATAATGAGTTCATTGTTTGGGGTTTGTTTTTTTTTTGCCAGGGGTGTGGGATTTTTTTAGGTCTCACTCTAGAGTGTAAAAACAAGTTTGTTTTGTTTTTTACCTTGTTAACTCCTAATTACAGTTTTCCATCTTATCCATATTGTGATATGGGACAATTTCATTGCTCTCAACTGGTTGGCAGTACACTTTATGCTTTCCATTTGCTACACTTTAATTACAAATCCCCTTGGGTCGGGCACCTGTGTTGCTACCCATACTTCATTTGATAGATAATTTTATGTGTCAGCTTGACCAGATCATGGGGTATCCACCAGTCACATTTAGTCAAACATTATTCTATGTCTGTAAGGGGAGGTTTTTTTTTTTTTTTTAAAGAGAATAACACTTGTATGGGTAGACTGAATAAAGCAGGTTGTCCTCCCTGATATAGGTGGGCCTCATGCCATCACCGAAGACCTGAATAGAACAAGACTGAACAAGAGGGAACTTCTACCTGACTCTTTGAGTCAGAACATCCATCTTCTCCTGCCCTCTGACTACAACTTACATCCACTCTCCTGGTTCTCTAGCTTATCGACTGCAGATCTGGGGACTTCTCAGCCTCCATAATCATGTGAGCCAATTCCTTCCCTGACTAATACACTTTGCTACCAAGGTGTACCTTCTCATACACATTTCTTTGTGTCCCCATGCAAGCATGCTACAGGATGAGCGAGCCCACACTTAATTTCTCTGTGTTCAAGGCACTTCCCTCCAGACTGGATGAACCTGTTTATACAGCTGCAGCGGCGTGTGAGAGTTTGTGATGCCTCACATTTTCATTGACACTTTATTTGCATTTTTTTAGGTTTATAGCATCTCCTTTCTGCTCGATAACCTGACTGGCTTCATTCAGCAGGAAGTCCACATGGATCAGAGGGCCCACAGGAACTCATGTCCCTCCTCCTCCCTTCCCACCGGCCAGCTCTGTGCCCCATCTCTTACTAGTGAACCACCCTCTCCTGCTTCTAGCCATGTGGGCCTCGTGCTGCTCCTCAGCCACACTCTTTTTGTCCCACCTCAAGCCTTTCCCGTGGCTGTGTGCTCTGCCTGGACAGCCCCTCCCACAGACACACTCAACTCCACGACTTCTCCTTGAAGATGTCTGTGATGTTGTGATTTATAATAAGAAATACATATTTCAGGGGCACCTGGGTGGTTCGGCTGAGCGTCTGCCTTCTGCTCAGGTCATGATCTGATATAGAGCCCCACGTTGGGCCGCTTGCTCAGTGGTGAGTCTGCTTCTCCTCCTTCCTCTGCCCCTCCTCCCTCAGATAAATAAATAAAATCTTAAAAAAAAATACATATTTGGTCTTTGTCCCCACCCCTGACTCAGAGCTTCTAAAAGCCTTGGAATCTCATAAGTGACAATAGCGATAAGGTGTATTGATATTCATAACAAGCCCCTCTCAGCCACACATGAGTTTACGTCAATGTGGTGATTTTTGGAAAGCCCCTAAGGTTGATGGCTGGTTGACAGGGAAACAGACGTGTGATCAGAGGCTGAAACTTTCAGTCCCATCCCCTGACCTCTGGGGAAGGGAGAGAGGCTAGAGGTTGAATCAATTGCCAATGGCCAGTGATTTCATCAATCATGCCTATGTAACGAAACCTCCATAAAAACCCAAAAGGATGGGGTTCAGAGAGCTTCCAGGTTGGTGAGTACGTAGAGGTGCTAGGACAGTGATGCACTCGGAGAGGTCATGGAAGCTCCACACCCCTGCCCACGTACTTTGTCCTCCGCATCTCTTCCATCCAACGGTTCCTGAGTTATACTCTTCTATAATAAACCAATAATCTAGTAATGTAAAATGTTCCTCTTAGTTTTGTGAGCCTCACTAGCAAGTTAATTCAACCCAAGGAGGGAGTTGTAGGATCCGCCAATTAATAGACAGTCACCAGAAGCACAGGGAACAGCTTGGACTTTCATTTGGCATCTGTGGGGTGGTGGGGGAGCGAGGAGGAGCCTAGTGGGACTGAGCCCTTAACTATCTGCAGGTAGATAGTGTCAGAATGGAGACAGTTGCCCATGGTGGTGGAGAAAACACATATTGGAATTTCATTCCCTTATCTTGGCCTCTGGTGGAAATGAGCATAAGTTCATATGACTTCCATTCACACACGTTTTCCTTCTGCTTGCGGTTTTTATATAATCCCCTTGTTCATATAATCCCCTTGTTTCCATCACTTATGGTCATTAGTCTTTTTCTTTAACCCTTACTGTATATTTATTAGATTAAGAGAACATCTTTCCTGGTGATAATCATTTCTAAGTATTCTTTTCCTTTTAATTGCAGTAAAATGTACATAAATTTACCATTTCTAAGTGTACACTTCAGTAGCATTAAAGTACATTCACATTTGTTATGTAATCATCACTACCATCCATCTCCAGACACATCTTTCCTGGCTGTAATCATTTCTTTTTATTTATTCATTCATTCATCCATCCATCCATCCATTTATTTATTTGTTTATTGATTGATTTTTTAGTCATCTCTACACCCAACGTGGGGCTCGAACTTACAGTCCTGAGATCAGGAGTCACATGCTCTACTGACTGAGCCAGCCAGGCACCACTCTTTTTTTTTTTTAAATTGTAGTAAAATACACCACAGTGAAACGCCACTGTGGCATTCAGTACATTCACATTGTTATGTAACCATGGCCACCATCTATCTCCAGAAATTTCTCATCATTCCAAACTGCAACTCTGTACCCATTACACAAGAGCTCCCTATTCCCCTCCCCCAGCCCCTGGCACCCACCATTCCACTGTCTCTGTGAATCTGGCTACTCTGGTATCTCCTGTAAGTGGAATCACACAGTATTTGTCTTTTTGTGTCTGGTGATTTCATTTAGCATAAGGTTCATCCATGTTGTAGTATGTGTCAGAATTTCCTTCCTTTTAAAGGTTGAATAATATTCTGTTGCATGTATATAGCACATTTTATTTATCCATTCACCCATCAGTGGACATTTAGGTTGTACATTATTGGTTTTGATGTTCAGATTGATTTCTCATCTTGGAGCCGTGGGCACTCCTTCAAGTTGGTTCTGAGTTTTCATGACAGGACACCACTGGTCTTTGATCTTGCTTTCTGTGTTAGAAATGTCACTCCTCTCCTACATTCCCTGCCAGAGACCTGAGGTTTGGTCTTTCTCAAAGAATCCCAGGTTCCTCTTAGTTGGTAATGGCATTTAGACACCAAAATATAGGCCTGTGTACTACATGTGTCTTAACTTTCCTACTAGACTCCATTCCATGAAGAGAACAGCTACATCTTACCTTGGTTTTATCACAGTACTTTACCCACAGCAGGTATGGAATCAACTTTTGTTCCTTTAGACTCAAAAAATGTCTTCACTCTTGGGGCTCCTGGGTGGCTCAGTCAGTTAAGCATCGGACTTTTGGTTTCAGCTCAGGTCATGATCTCAGGGTCATGAGATCGAGCCCTGTGTCAGGCTCTGTGCTAGGCATGGAGCCTACTTAAGATTCTCTCTCCCTCTCTCTCTCCTCCTCCCCTGCCCTCCCGCATGCAAGCTGTCTCTCTGAAAAAAAAAAAAAAAGTTGTATTGAGGTATATAATTGACATAGAACATTATATTTTTTCAGACGTACAACATAATGATTCCATATTTGTGTACATTGTGAAATGATCACTACGTTTCTAGTTAACATCTGTCACCAAACGTAGTTATAAAATTTTTTTTCTTGTGATGAGGACTTCAAAGAATCTACTCTCTTAACAACTTTGAAATATGAAACACAGTATTTTTTTAAAGATTTTATTTATTTATTCATGACAGAGAGAGAGAGGCAGAGGGAGAAGCAGGCTCCCCGCTGAGCAGGGAGCCTGATGTGGGACTTGATCCCAGGACCCTGGGATCATGACCTGAGCCAAAGGCAGACGCTTAACCGACTGAGCCAGCCAGGCGCCCTATGAAACACAATATTATTAATTATAGTCACCATGCTGTACCTTATATCCCCAAGACTTCTTTATTTTATAGCTGCAAGACTGTACTTTTTGTTCCACTCCACCCATTCCTCCCCTGGCCTGCAACCACCAATCTGTGTCTGTATCTATCTGTATCTGTGGGCTTGTTTTTTTATTTGTTTTGTTTTTTAGATTCCACGTGTAAGTGAGATCATATGGTATTTGCCTTTCTCTCTGACTGATTTCACTTAGCTTAATGCTCTCAAGGTCCACCCATGTGTTACAAATAGCAGGATTTCATTGTATACAACATCTTCTTTATCTGGTCATCCATCATGGACACTTAGATTGTTTCCATGTCTTGGCCATTATAAATAATGCTGCAGGGAACATGGGGGTGTCTTTTCAAATTAGTGTTTTCATTTTCTTAGAATAAATACCCAGAAGTGGAATTGCTGCATGATATAGTAGTGCTATTTTTAATTTTTTTAACTAAGCTATACGTCCAATGTAGGGCTCAAATTCAAAACACTGAGATCAAGAGTCACCTGGCCTTCCTACTGAGCCAGCCAGGCACCCCTAAACATACCTGTTTTATCACCAACGTGGAGCTTGAATTCATAACCCCAAGATCAAGAGTTGCATACTCTCCCAACTGAGCCAGCCTGGCGCCCCTCAATTTTTTTTTTTGAGGAACTGCCATTCTATTTTCTACAGTGGCTGCACCAGTTTACATTCCTACCATAAGTATACAAGGGTACCCTTTTCTCCACATCCTCACCAACATTTGTTATTTCATGTCTCTTTGATACTAGCCATTCTGACAGGTGTGAGGTCATAGCTCATTGTGGTTTTGATTTGCATTTCCCCAGTGGTCGGTGATGTTGAGCATCTTTTCATGTGTCTGTTGGCCATCTGTATATCTTCTTGGGGAAGATGTCTATTCAGATCCTCCACCCATTTTTAAATCAGACTGTTTGATTTATTGCTATTGTTGCGTGAGTTCTTTATATATTTTGGATGTGAACCTCTATCAGATAAATGATTTGCAAATATTTTCTCCCATTCAGTAGGTTGTCTTTTCACTTTGTTGATTATTTCCTTTGCTGTGCAGGAGCTTTTTAGTTTGATGTAGTTTAGGTACTTATTTTTGATATAACAAGGCCCTGTATCCTCAAGCGATTATTTCAACTGATGCTCAGTTGCAAATAAACATAGAAACAGCAATCTGCTCATCTCTGGTGTCAGGGAAGAGGACTGTTTTGGACAGCTAATATGGCACTCATCAGCATATTGTGTAAAGATGGTCCCTTACTGAGAACTTGAGATTCATGAAGGTAATTCTGGCAATACTAAATTCTAGCCTTTTATGTAGTCTTTAAAATTAAGTTCCTACAAAAGCAGAGTCTGCTGTTTTTATCCTGCAGAATGGCTGTATTGGTCAGGGTTCTCCAGGGAAATAGAACCAAGAGTATGAAGAGTATGTATGTGTACACACACACACACACACACACACACACACACGTATGCATGCATATACTTTAAAAGATTGATTTTAAGAAGTCCTTTTAAATTCATTAATTTTAGGAGATTGGTTTTAGAGAATTGGCTCATATGATTCTGTGAGCTGGCAAGTCTGAATCATGCGGGGCAGTTTAGAGACCCAGGGAAGAGTTGCAGTCTTTAGTCTACAGTCAGACTGGAGGCAGAATTGCTTCCTCTTCTATGGGCCTCAGTCTTTTCTCTTAAGGTCTTCAATTGATTGGATAAGGTCCACTCACCTTGTGCAGGGTAACTGGCTTTACTCAAAGTCTAAAGATACCTTCACAGCCACATCAAGACTGGTGTTTCACCAAACAACTGGGACCATAGCCTAGCCAAGTTGACCCATAAAATTAACCATCACAATGGATACAGTGGGAACCCACTGAGTGAATAAATGCCCAGCTAATTCCTTCATTGACTTCATTCCTTTTCTTTGTCACCAAAAGCAGTAATTTCTGTTTGACAAACTGAAATCTAAATGATGAAGGAAAAATGCCAGCTGCTTTCCCACAGACAGTAACTGTTCCCTGAGAAGTGAGAGTAGAAGAGAAGTTTGAAGATCAGGTTCCCAAGGAGAATCCAAACAGATGGAATCAACAAGATCTATAAAGAACTTACCAAACTCAACACCCAAAGAACAAATATCCAATCAAGAAATGGGCAGAAGACATGAACAGACATTTCTGCAAAGAAGA